GGTTAAAATCGAAATATTTCAGTCGAAGCTAGAGTCCCAACCACTGCAAGCAATCAGAGTGCCTTTTTCCTCCCCAGAGGTTCCACTGTCATGGGTTTGGAGCAGATCCTTACAGACATTTTGCTACATATTTACATATATATGTACCCACAGAAAATATAAATTGTGGTTTTCCTGAGTTTTCTGTTTTACGTAAATGTAATCAAACTACACACATTGCTCTGCAACTTGCTTTTTTCACTCAGTTTGTACTATGTTAGTACATATAAATGGATTGCATTTTTAAAAATTGTTACATAGTATTTTATGGACTGGATGCACCACAGTTGATTTAGCCCACTCACTTTCCAAAGACAGAAATGCATTTTTCTATAAATGTTGTAGCTTTTGAAGGGCTTATGGGGTTTTTTTTCTTTCAAAGTATAAGGCTTTTATTTATGCTAATGGAGGAACCTACACCACAGCGACAACAGAAATATTTAGCAACACCCAGCCTGGTGACTAAATTTTCCCATTTTCTTCAGGTGCTTGGCATCCCTGGGAGCTAGCTCTTGTCTATTGCCAAGTCTCTGTTTATAGCCAAAGGCTGTCTCGAGAACAAGGAGAACAGTGGAGTTGTTAGCTTTTAGGTCCTGGGCCCTAAAATAGGCATCCTGGCACGATGCAGAAATAGTACAGCTGTGGAGCCTCAGAGACCTGGGTTCAAATCCCGGCTTTAGCTGTGTGACCCTGAGCAAGTCACCTTACCTCTCTGAGCCTCAATTTTTCCATCCATGAAATGGAGTTTACAATTGCCATCTTATAGAATGGCCAGGAGAAGTGAACGTATGCCACATGTAAAGCAATGATCACCTAAGAGCACGTATGTGTCCATTTAGTGCCCTGCTGTCTGCAGCCCCAACATAGTGGAGGGAATGGGGTGGCGGGGAGGTGGTGGGGGGAGGGAGTGGGTGTAGGTCCTGCATCTCTAAAGGGGTCACTCAAGGTCCCAGAACAGTGAAAAGACGAATACTCTGCCCCTGCTGGCAGTGCCGTATGGGGGTGGCATATGAGTTCAAAGGGATTTTCTGCCCAGATTCTGGGCACCTCCTGTATGCCAGGCACTTCCCATATTGCACGGCCTTTCACCTTCACCCCAGCAGGCAGAGCAGAGGGTTGTCCCTCTGCCCCAATTTGCAGGTGAGGCAACTGAGGTTCCGAGAGAAGGGGTGCCACTTGCCCGAAGTCTCAGTTAGTGGCAGGTTGAGACTGCAATTTGGTCCCTCTGTTTCTGAAAGCTGCCCTGAGGCTGCAGGCAGCTGCTCTGCAGAGCACCCCCTCCTGGAAAGATAGGGAAGCTCCTCTCATGATGACATCTCAGATGTCTGCATTCAACCATCAAGAACCCTTTGCAGGAGGAGAGAAAAATGGCTTTTCTGGCCTCCCTTTTTCCAAGGAGATGAGATAAAGGCTACTCAGAGGTCACCTCAGGACAGTCTGAATCAAATCTCTTAAATGAGGTTGACAGAGAGAGAGAGTATGAAATGTCCATACTTTTGTGTGTGCAATAAGGCTTAGTTTTTTGAAGCTCACTCACTTCTCATTTGAGCAAGATGAGAAGCCCCTCCCTTGGTGAAAAGGGCCTGGGCCAGGAGTCAGGAGTCCAGCCCCGGCTCTGCAGCTGAATCACCGTATCTGGGCCAAGTCATTTCCCCATTTCTGGGCCTCAATTTTCCTGCCTGTCAAATGGGAGAGTGAGACTGGCTGACCACAGGACTTGTCCTGCTCCAACAATGGGAGAACCGGCGGGGAGGGGATGGGGGTGCTTTAGGGGTAGGGTTGCCAGATTTAACCACGTGAAATACAGGATATCCAGTGAAATTTGAATTGAGGTAAAAAAATAATTTTTATTAGTATGTCCCCAGTATTATAGGGGACATAACTTACACTAAAAAATTATTTGCTGTTTATCTGAAATTCAGGTTTAACTGGTCATCCTGTATTTTCTCGGGCAGCCCTATTCAGGGCCTTCACCTCCACTGGACCGCCCCGCCCCCCCCGTTTCTTTGATACAGATAATTTATGTCTTCACAGCTTCTAGATGAAGTCCTGGCCACCCACCTTCCATCCGGATCCTCACCACCCACTGCCACCCTCCTGCCAGTGCCCACTTTCCTGCCTACGTAGACATTCTGGAGCCATGGGCTGACAGGTTTCATGGGTCTAGGAATTCCTACAGCGGAGATAGGGGTGGAAACTCAGCCAGACTAGGGGACTTAAATCAGTGGAGAAATTTATGTCCATGTGTGTCACGATGGCTAGAGGGACACAGTGTCTGTGGCTGCTCACAAGCGGCTGGTCCCATTCTGTGCCGCATCCACATGTGTGCACATAAACCAGTGGTACCGCATCCATGTGTTATCGAGAAAACTGTCTTTGGATATAAGGTATCAGAGCTCCCAGTCCCCGGCCTTCAGCCAAGCCCATCCTTCACGTCACATGTGGGGAAACTGAGGTCCAGAGGGAAGTGGCTTGTCTGCAGTCACATGGCCTTCCACTATGCCTGTCCTCACCTTGACTGCCCTCCTCCCCACCTTATTGGGGGGCAGTCTTCCTCCTCCAGGAGGTCGTGATTAATTACTCCACCTCCTGACACCGGGCAATAATAACCCGATATCCTCACCTGGAGCCTGGCGTAGCGCTAGGCACCTTACACGGACAGCCTGCCAAAGCCTCGTCCTGCCCCTGTGAGGTAGGCCCCACCATTGCCCACATTTTACAGAAGGGGAAACTGAGGCACTGGTGGTGAAGTCACTTACCCACAGTCACTCCAGATTGGGATTTGAGCCCATGACATCTGACTTCAAGCCCCACCTGAGTTCTTGGTGCTTGGTCTCAAACTAGCCACCTACGGGCTAAATCCAGTTTATGGATATGTTGTGTTTGGCCCTGGAATGTTTTTTTGGTTTTTTCTGTTGTTGTTGTTTTTATTTTCGGTACCCGGGCCTCCCACTGTTGTGGCCTCTCCCGTTGCTCCGGACGCGCAGGCTCAGCGGCCATGGCTCACGGGCCCAGCCGCTCCGTGGCACGTGGGATCCTCCCGGACCGGGGCACGAACCCGTGTCCCCTGCATCGGCAGGCGGACTCTCAACCCCTGCGCCACCAGGGAAGCCCCCTGGAATGTTTTTAATGGGGAAATTTTACATCAAATTCCAGGTGTCCAGCTTGTCTTAGAAGACCAGAGAGTCTACCACACTGGGCCCACAGTCCCCCACAGGAGATGAGAAGTATCTGTCCCCTTTAGAAGGGCTGAGATTCTTCACTTTGCCCCAGTCCCCATCACTCCCTGTTGCCTCCCACCCACCTACTTCCCTCATTCACAAAACCTGCCCGACCCCACAGCTATTCTCATTTGCAGCTCCTGTCCTGTGCTCTGACCCAGGACCCAGGATCTCAACGTTAGGCCTGTGAACAAGCGGATGACAGAACCTCTAAGCCATGGCTAGGCCCCCTGACTTGAAGGACACCCATATTTTCTACTGGTCGCACGACTGGTAGAGTCCAGAACATTTGAATCACAGACCCTGAGGAGATTCAAAGACTCATCTCTCCTTGAATCAATCAGGAGGAGCCCAGGAGACGGGCTGGTCCCGCTGCCACCAAACTTCTTAGTGAAACCTTCATTTGCTCCAAACCTTATGAGCGGCCCCAAATGTGAACAGACCCCAGACCACTTCAGGGCCTGTAGACCTTGAGGTCCCTGGGCTGCTCAGGGTCCGTACATTCTGTTGAGCTCTCCTGTTTTCAAGATGGGGAAACTGAGGCTCAGAGAAAGGAACTGCCTGACCAAAGGCATAGCTAACTGCTGTAACAGGCCACTGTTGACTGTGCCTAGCCCCTTCCTCAGAGGCCCACCACCCTCTCAAATCTCCCTCCTTCCCCTCATCAAAACCCACTCCCAGGAAAAAGCCTGAAGCCAGTGAACACTATGGTGTCCAGAACCAATGAGGGCTTCCCCTCCCAGGGAGTCTAAAGGGATTGGAGCTTTTAGGTAAAGGGAAGAATTTCAGACATTGTCTGTGGGTGGAACTGGGCAAAGGAAGGAAGACAAGGACCTCCCTGCAGTGCCTGAATCATACTACGTCTTGCCTGCTTGCTCTGGATATAGAGCTCCCAGATGCCACCACAGCACAAGAGGCTGGGGGCAACATTTCCATGTGCTTCGAACAGGGCTGGCCTGGGTTCTCAGGTCCCAGGAGCGGCGTCAAGGCCGCCTCTGGGTCTCATGAAGGCCTTGGTCTCTTCCTCTATGACACGGGCATAACAGCTCGGGCTCCTCCCTCCCGTGCACAGGCAGGACAGCGGATCTCCAGTGCTTACCTGCACTGATAGGCAAGGCAGGTGTGGGGTTTCTTTGGGAACGAGCCACCCCCGGCTCTCCCGTGAGGTCTCGCCAGTCCGGCTCTTGGTGGCGGTAGGTGGGTGTCTCACGGTCGGCATCAGCACCTAGAAACCCACACAGGAGGCATGCCCATGTCCTGTACCCCTGAGCCGTAGACTGTGGGACTCCCAGGACCTCCGAGCTCCTGCATGCCTGAGTGTGGGGCTTTTCCCTTCGCGGGACACTCCCCGGCATTCACACCGGCCGGGCCTGCAGCAGCGAGAGAAGCACGGGTTGAACGACTACCTGGATGAATGAGCGAATGAACGACAGACTGTTGGAGATCTAGAAGCTGCGATGTGATAGCTTATCTATGATAGTAGATACTAGACCACGAGGCCCCACAACTGTAACAGCAGAATGTTCCAGTCCTCCAACCCCAGCACGCTAGTGTCTCTGTTCAGGAGACCCTCTGGGCCAAAGCAAACACTGGGCGCCGGGCTCCTGGTGGGTGCCTGCCGCCCCCTGCCTTGTTTTTGCCTCTCTCCCCTTCTCTCCTCCCTCCGCCATGTGGATGATTCCCGGAACGTGTGTGTGTCTCCTGGGCCCCCAGGCCAACCGCTCTGCACTCTGTCCGCAGGTTTGCCAGGCACCGCTCCAGACCTGGAAAAGAGAAAGCAGATTTTTGGGCAAAACTTTATACCTCCAAAGAAGCCAAAAACCTTCCTGCAGCTCGTTTGGGAGGCACTGCAAGATGTGACGCTGATCATCCTGGAAATCGCGGCCATCATCTCCCTGGGGCTATCTTTCTACCACCCACCCGGTGAAAACAACGAAGGTAAGACAGGGCCTGGGGCCCCTGCTGCCCACCCGGCAACACGCGTGCCTGGCCACCCAGGAGGGCACTAGGGGCTCGTGGCCATGACTCCCTCCAGGTGAGGAAACCAAGGCCCAAGGGGCAGGGCCTCACCCACAGCTAGTGGGTGGCTGAGCCCGACCCCAGGCTGAGAGTGCCCGGCCCCCATTCTCCCATGTGTGAAATGCAGGGGTTGGACCAACGATGGTCATGTTAGAGTGAGTGTTTATTGAGCACTTACAGGGTGCCGAGCTCTGGGCTGAGATGCTGTCCTAACAGCCCCATGAGGTAGGGTCCATGATTATGCCCATCTTAAAGATGAGGAAACCAAGGCACAGAGGAGTGAGTTAACTGGCTCGAGGTCACCCAGCGAAGAAATAGTCCCCAGGTTTTGCACTGGGGCTTGTTAAAAACACCACTGCCCAGACCACTCCCTGAGAGACTCTGGTTGTGTTGGACGGAGCCCAAGGGTGGGTGACCCCGAACTTCTGTCCAGGCTGCTCTCTTAAGAGCTCCCCACTCTCACAGCTGGGGACAGAGCCCCCGAATCGCTCACCCGTGGCCTACATCCCCACTCTGATCTGACAGGGCATCAGCCCTGTTCTCAGGTGCCCTTCTCTCTGGGTGCTCCAGCTTCTGAGCGACCCTGTTTCAGCTCCAACGCTGGGTCTCTCCTCAGAACCCCGAAATTGCTGGCTCCTCAAGGCCTGCAACTACGAAAAAATCCATGATGACGTTGGAGCTCTGGGCACCTGATATTCTACAACAGGCATCACAGACTTCAGCCCACGGCCGACTCTGGCTCACCTCTTGTTTTTATACGGCCCGTGAGCTAAGATTGGTTTTTACATTTTTAAGCGGTTGAAAGAAAATCAAAATGATACTATTTCGCGGCACGTGACTATTGCATGAAAATTCATATGTCATCGTCTAAAAATACAGTTTCGTTGGGACACCCCCATTTCTTTTCCATGCTGTCTGTGGCTGACTTCCCACCATGACGGCAGGGTTGAGTGACTGTGACAAAGACAGCAAGGCCCACAAAGACTGAAATATTCACTTTCAGGCCTTTTATAGAGAAAGTTCGCCAACCTCTGTCCTAGAAGATCAGGAAGGGAAATTTTGCTCCAAGAAAGCCATTCTCCCTCTCCCCGGCCAGACACCGCTCTCTGAGTGTGGAAGGAGAATAAAGTGGATGAAGACTCAGTTTCTGAAGTGAGCCCATTCTCCCGGGTTAGAATCCTGTCTCCATCACTTCCCGGCTGTGTGCCCTTAAGCAAGTCACTTTCCTTCTCTGAGTCTCAGTTTCCTCATCGGCAAAACAGGACGACAGACCTCACCTCGAAGGGTTATTACAGGGAGATGGTGAAGGGCCGTGTGGACAACGTGGCACACACAGAGGGCACCTGGAGGTGCTGGACCTGCAGCCGCTGCGGGTAGACCGCCCCGGGCTTCCTTCCCTGCATCCCCGTTGGGGATCCCACGCTGTGTGACCTGTGGGAGAAGGGCTCTCAGTCCTGGTCCTAGCTTGGTTCAGTGTCAGGCACACCCTTGTGGGCCCGATGCTGAACATGCTTTCCCACGTGACGAGTCTCGGACCTGAGGGGGCATCCCGAAACCTGTCCTGGGTTCTGAATGGGGACATTGTTTTGTGGGTGGAGGAAACAGTGTGCCACTCACCCAGGGAGGGTTCTGGGGCAAACCCACTTTCTCAAAGTCAGGACTTAGAAGTCCTAATGGAAAACCTCATAAATAAATGAGGAGGTTGGGATTAACATATACACACTACTATATATAAAATAGATAACCAGCAAGGACCTACTGTATAGCACAGGGAACTCTAGTGAATATTTTGTAATAAGCTATAAGGGAAAAGAATCTGAAAAAGAATATGTGTGTGTGTGTGTGTGTGTGTGTGTGTGTGTGTGTGTATACACATATATATACACACATATATATACACACATGTATATACACACATGCATGTATAACTGAATCACTGTGCTCTACACCTGAAACTAACACGACACTGTAAATCAGTTATACTTCAATTTAAAAAAAAGAAAGGAAAAGAAAACCTCAACCTCCATTCATCATTCATCCTTCATTCCAGAGACTGAGCACCTCCCAAGGGGCTAGGCCTTCACCAGCTCCATGACAGCTTTTTCCTTTATGATGACAAAGTCTTTTAAACCTGTATCACTCTACGATATATACATAGATAGATAGGCAGACAGATATATATGCATACACATGCCATGAGATATGTGGGATCACATATGTTTTTCTTGTTAGCTTTTTATAATCTGATTTGGCGTTAGTAGAAAAGTGTAAACACTTTTCTTTGTTATTAATTATAATTAGACATTTCCTAATCAATGTGCTGTGTAAGTAGATAATCCTACTAGGGTCACTGCTTCAGGCAAGCAAATAAAAAGTGAAAAGCATGTAAGAAATAACCCTTATGGGCCTCCTTTCCCCAAATGAGAAAGTGGTCTCTGAGGTTCCTTGAACAGCTGTCACCCCACCCCCTCCCAGGCCAGAGTTTTCTGAGAAACTGGATAGCCAAGTCTATCTGGCCAACTACCTCAGTTTTATACCTCGTATTACTAGCTGATTTCTTTTTTCTGCATGCCCTCTTTCCAAAGAGGGTTCAAAGCAGATAAATTTGCTACCACGATTGAGATATAAATTTGACTTTGAACTCCCTGGCAGCCAAAGCAGAAAGTGAATTAGGATGATGCATAGCTCAAGTAATCAACAAGGAGGAAAGGTAGTTCTTTAGGAAGATAGCATGTCCCCTGACAATGAATTCTGGGATGAACTTTCACGTAGGATATTATGAGAGATGCACAATGGGCAGCATTCTCTGCAGAAGTTTTCCAGAAAATACAGACGATGGCACGTGGCTACTTGCATGAGCCTTGAGCAAAGCTAAGGGTGCAACACAAAGCATAATAGGAAGGGTAATTCCTACTATTTTTAGAGCCACCACTAGTTGGAAGCTTTTAGGGTAACAGTTCGTTTGATCCTCACTTGACCCTCACAACAGCCCCATGGGCAGGTGCTATTATTACCCAGGAAACCAAGGCCCTGAGGAGGTAAATGACTTGGGAGGAGATCAGGCTCTGGGAAGCGGCAGAACCGTGACTCAGACCAAGGCGCTCCAGCTCCCGAGCCCACGCTCCTGGCCCTCGGCTACGTTTCCTCAGAAAGTGACCGGCTTGAGTCAGTGCCACCGGAGAAGCGACCTCACGTGACCCAGTTTAGTGCAAGATTAGAGCTCAGCAGGCAGATGATAGAGGGGGTGCAGTGGGAACATGGATCAGGCTCCCAGGCTGTACCAGGAAGAGCCTTCCCCCAGTCCTGCACACAGATGGCTGTGATCACCCCCATCTTAGAGAGGTGGGAGCCAAGGCCCAGAGAGGGGAAGGACTTGCCTAAGGTCACACAGCTTTTAGACAGTAGGGCTGGATTTGAAACCCAAGGCTTCTGGCTCTTTCTACTGTCCCTCCCTTCCTCCCGCTGAGACAGTAGCTCAGGCCACACTCAGTTGATGAGGGCAGATGCACACGCTCTAGTCCCACAGAATGAAGTCCCTGCACCTCGCGACTGTGCTACCTCCGCCCCAACACCCAGGCCCCGGCCTGCGCTCTGAGCTCTGGACCTTCCGTGTTGCCTGGACCACCCCCTGCCATGTCAGACTCAGGCTGCATCAGTTATGTATAAAACGACGCTGGTGATGAACTAACAGGCTCTAGGCTGCCTTGCAGCACGCATAGCCCTTCCCTGTTTGCTTTCTTGGCTCAGAGACCTCCAGACACTTGTCAGAGGTCACACAACACTTTTGCGGCAGGGCCGGGATAGGCATACCCCTTGTTTCCAACTCCCTGCCTGTGACAGCTCCCCTAGTGCCAGAGTGCCAGCAGAGTGACCGGCACATAGTAGGTGCTTAGAAAATGTCTGTGGCTTGACCAGTTTTGAGAGTCCTTATTCGACGCCAGGCCCTGGTAACCACCTAGAAAGTAGTTTCCCCGTTTTACTGATGAACAACTAGAGGGAAGCCCAGAGAGGCCAAGTGGATTCCCCAAGGTCACACAGACAGTATGCGGCCACACCCTAGAAAACCCTGGGTCCAGGGAGGGCAGCTGCAGGTTTCCCAGACCCTGTGGTCACGATCTCCAGATCCTGTCCCTGCCCCAGTCCAAGGGAGCCCCAGAGGAGACCTCAGCAGGGCCTACCCACGCCCCTCTTTCTTCCCCTTTCTCATCTCTTCCCCTTAATTGCACCAGAGCAGCAGGAGTTGTTTTCAGGGTTTGGCAGCTCCCAATAGCTTAAGCAATCTGCATCTCTACTTTCTTGCCATCCCAGGGCACCATGTAATCATCAGATAGTTCTCAAAAAGCTAATGGAATTTTTGCTGGCCAAGTGAGTGCCCTCAAAGGCCCAGAGGGCTCCTTGGTATTGAATCAGCAAGGGCAGCAGACGGGACTTGGAGACAAGGTAACAGGGTGTGGACCCACTCAGCTACCATGCCCTTGGTTCTCAGGAGTCAGTCTAAAGAGAAAAGCTCATGAAAAGGAGAGGACCGATGTCTGCCGTGTACTCACCACATGCCAGGCCCTTACTAAGCCCTGGGCTCACAAAGTCCCTGGGGTCATCCCACTTTATAGCTGTCCAAACTGAGACTCAGAGAGGCCAAGTCACATACCCAAGATCACACAGCAGAGCCTGGATTTGAAGGCATGTCTTTCCAGTTCCAGGGCCCAAAGGCTTTTCATTGTCCTGGACTGTCCCTGAATGTCCTAAACGTTTCAGTAACTAAAGCGGGGGTCCACTGATGAAGCACAGGACAGGGACAAAACAGCCCCTCCCACTTACAGAGCATGTGGCAGGGGCAGGGGATAACAAAGGTCCCAGAAGGAGAAGCCCTGGGCTCTGTATCTTGAATCACTCCCCTGAGTCCAAGAGAATGCATCTCCATGTACTGGGTTTCTCTTTAGCAAGGTTCACCTGTGTTTCCCAGTTTGGGGGATTTCACTGGTGTCGTTCACTAGTAGAGGGGCACCTTAGTTCCCCTCCTCCCATCTTCACGTGGTTCTGAAGTCCAGCTGGATCCCCTCTGACACCTGGGGGCTCGAGGCCCCATTCAGGCTGCCTGTGTGATGACATCACGTGCTGGACGAGAAGCCACCCTTCTTACACTGAGCGGTTACTGTGTGCTCGCTGCGTCAGGTGCTTTACATACAGCCTCTCCGCAGACTTCACCACCACCTAGGAGGGAGCACCTGTCATTACCCCAGTTTTGCAGATGAGAAAACCAGGGCACAGCAGTTAAGCAGCTAGCTCCGGGCACACAGCTGGGATTTGAGCTCAGAGCTATAGCCCGATGTCAGTTACCATCGCCATGATAACGATTATCATCACCACCAAAGGCTGGTTCAGTTCAACAGTTTAAAATTATTGGAAAAGTCTGAAATTCCCAAAGAAAAGAAAAGTGGCTTTGAGAACCCCACGCAGTGGTATAGTTGTTTATTAGCCGATGAGGAGTGGCTGGTTCAGCCAAAGATGTGGAATTTTCTAGTGACCCACACCGCCGGCCTGCAGTGACTCTGTATCCTCCCAAGCATGGGCCCACCAGCTGAGCCTTGACCCTTCCAGGAGCTGAGAGCCAGAAAACATTCCCTGGTACCACCTGGCCTTCTGGTCATGTTGCTTTCAACCCCTCGTTTCCCAGGGAGTCATGCTGGGGACTCTTGAAACTGCTGTTCTCTATTCCTTGGGACTGAATTAGACTTCCAGACAGTCGACCATGGGTCTTTGGCAACATTTTCTACTTTCCCAGTGAGGCCAGCATGTGGCAGAGAGGGCCGCTGGGCTAAGGGATAGTGGGCAGGCCAGGTCCGGTGTCAGATTCCAGGCCTGGATTCAGACTCCAGATCTGCTGTGTGATCTTGGCTGAGTTGCTGTCCCTCTCTGAACTGCTTCTCTCCTCTCAGCCAACTTGAGGATTAAAGTGAATGCCTGGCACACAGCAGGCCTTGCGAATGGCCCAGTGGGGCCCAGCCTCGGTGGAAGGGGCCCGCTCTGAGTTTTCTGGGAGTGGATCGTCAGATGCTGTCCATGGAGAGACCCTTCTCCACCCCCCAACCCCTGCCCATTGGAAGGAAGGGCCTAGGCCAGTACTGGTGTGGCACTCATCTCTCTGGACCTCAGTTTCCACATCTGTCCATGGGGGTAATAGCTCTGAGTTTTCTGGGAGTGGATCGTCAGATGCTGTCCATGGAGAGACCCTTCTCCACCCCCCAACCCCTGCCCATTGGAAGGAAGGGCCTAGGCCAGTACTGGTGTGGCACTCATCTCTCTGGACCTCAGTTTCCACATCTGTCCATGGGGGTAATACCTCTGAGTTTCCGGATCCTTCCGGGGATGCAGGAGACAGGATGTGCGGAGGGGCTTGGAAAGGTCCTAGCCTCTGACTTTCCGGATCCTTCCGGGGATGCAGGAGACAGGATGTGCGGAGGGGCTTGGAAAGGTCCTAGGGCTCAGCACTGCGTGGGCAGGACCTGCCTTCAAGTCCTTCAAGTCCGAGGCCGTGGCATCAGTTGTGTCTGGTGTCTCCTTTTTCTTTGTCACATGGTGGGTCTGGCAGGCCTTAAGCAATGTGGGGCCCAGACCTGGAGGTTCAATGGTGCAAGGGTGTGGCGTGGAGGGTTACTGTGGATCTGACAAGTGGCTCGGAGTGTTGGTGTCCTCACTGTGTAGTCGGGGCTCAAATCCAACAAGGGCTGAGTAAGAACCTCCTATGTGCTAAGCACAGCCTGGAGCTTTTGCCTTCCTCCCCTTGAGTCTGGAAGGTGGTCTGAGGGACTCCCATTTTGCAGATAAGGACACCAAAGCTTAGGGAAGGCTTACCCAGGACCATAGAGCGGCAGCAGCAGGATTCAGACCAGCTTGTTGGAGGGCAGGTCTAGCACTATGGCTCCCGCCCCAGCCTAGAAACCTGCCTCACAGTTGCTGGAAGAAGGGAAGGAAAGGACATCAGCAAAACCGCATTTTAGACCCTAAAGCACTTGCACTATTGATTGCTGTGAGGCCCCTTCCGCCTGGCTGACCCACCCCACCTGCTTCCTTCTGCTCTCTGCAGGATGTGCAACGGCCCAGGCGGGGGCAGAAGATGAAGGGGAGGCGGAGGCAGGCTGGATCGAGGGGGCCGCCATCCTCCTCTCGGTCATCTGCGTGGTCCTGGTCACGGCCTTCAATGACTGGAGCAAAGAGAAACAGTTCCGGGGCCTGCAGAGCCGCATTGAACAGGAGCAGAAGTTCACCGTGGTCCGGGCTGGCCAGGTGGTCCAGATCCCTGTGGCTGAGATCGTGGTTGGGGATATCGCCCAGGTCAAATATGGTAAGTGACCCAACCACAGAGCCACAATGTGGAGCTGGCAACTGGGCACAGGTGGGACCCAGAGAGGCTGGCCCAGGGCAGGGGGTGGATTCCTGAAGGCTGAGCCCAAGCCAGGTTGTCTTCTCAGCTCCTTGGAGAGGTGGAAGGCTCCTTTCTGGAGGTAAGAGTCCAGAATCCATTTAAATCAGAAATGGCAAATACATGGCACACGTACCACAACTCTCCAGACTTCTACCCTTAGCAGACATTCCTGATCAATCCCAGCTCAAAGCCTAGATACATCCTCAGACGCCTTCTCAGTATAACACTCCAAGGACCACTAACACTCAGAATGGGTTGATGAGGTGAAATCCATTTCCCACCTCTGATTTGGCTGTTAATGGACGGTTGTTGGGCTAGAGAAGGTGTTACAGGGAGTGGACATGGATGAGTGAACATTCTAGGCCTGTGATACTGCCATGGAGAACGTGAGCAGGCTGGTGCCAAAGGGGATTTAGATGAGATATGTCCTAGGTAAGTAGAGGCCAAAGATGGGGGAAAGATTGGCAGGCCTCTCCTCACTCAGCCCTAGGGGGCTTGGTTTCCTCTGATAACATGCCTGTCTTGGGGGGCTCTTCAGCCTAGTCAAGAGAGATTAATCCCTTCCAAAAGAATTTCCCCAAAACATAGTTGAGACCAGAGAAGATTGAATCGTTGAGAAAACTGGGCCCCAAATCCATGCCATGCCAAGAGAAGCACTTTATAAACTGAAGGATATGCCCACCGAAGCTAGGATTATTGCGGGACCTAACCTCAGCCCCCCAGGCCTCATGCCCTTCACCCTGGCCCCAGGCTTCAGCTGTCTATGGTCCTTTGATGGGCGCCATCTTGGCTCCTGTATCCTGGGAACTCTAGGCAGCCAGTTCCCAAGGGCGAACCTTCCTTGTAACCATGCCTTGAAGAGAATATTCCAGCCTCTCCAGCCACCTGAGACCCTGCTGACTGACCCCCTCACCCTTCTTCCTACCAGGCGACCTCCTCCCCGCAGATGGCCTCTTCATCCAGGGCAATGACCTCAAGATCGATGAAAGCTCCCTGACGGGGGAGTCTGACCAGGTGCGCAAGTCTGTGGACAAGGACCCCATGCTGCTGTCAGGTGAGCTGTGGCCCACGGTGGGCTCACTCCCATTGCCGGTTCCTGCCCCCATGCCCAGGGGGCATCCATGTCCCCTTTATGAGGCTGGAGGGTCTCAGAGACTTTGGTCCTTGTCTCCGGATCTCTGGCCAACTTGGCCCCAAACGAGAGCTCCCTCCCTTTTCCCCTGCAGTCGTACATTGAGCCTACTGTGCACTGAGCAGCACTCCAGGCCCTGGGGCGAGCACAGTGAATAAAACTGACAACGAATTCCTGCGCCCATGAAACTTACCTTCTAGTAAGTTGATTTTCTGAAAAGTCGAACATGGAAGCCTGTTCTCGTTAGAGATGAGAAAGAATCAGTCTGGTGATGCCTACTTTAGATGCCTGCTGTGTGCCAGGCATTGGGCTGGAGGCTGGGGACACAGCAGTGTACAAGGCAGATGAGGCCCCGGCCTTGAGGAGGTTATAGTGTAGTGTGGAGAGACAGACGATGTAAAAATTCCAGAAGGTAATAGGTATATGATGAAAAAAAAAGCAGGGCGATGGAGTGCAGGTGTTGGGGGAGGTCGGGGCGGCCACGTGTGAGCTGAGGTGTGAATGATGGAAAGGAGCTGGTCTTGCAACTTTCCAGGGAAAGATTATAGCGGGGAGCAGGAGTAGCAAGTGCAAAGGCCCTGAGGCAGGACCGTGAGCAAGAGGGAGACCTTGTGCACCATGGTCAGGAGTTTATAAATTTTCTGCGTACGATGAGGATTCTCTGGAATCAGCAGTAAGCTGATCATGTTTACATTTTTAAGATCTCAGTCTGGCTGCTGCAGGGGGCAAGAGAGGAGGGGAGACCCTGCAGAGGTGAGGCGCCAGACAGATAAAATACCCGCCCTCCAAGCAGGGACACCAAAAAGGCTTTACTGTCCAGCAGCGCTCAGCAAACGTCCTCTGAGCAGTTGCTCTGGGCCAGGCCCTCTGCCCTCCCTTCCATGATGACACAGACTCATCCCCTGGCCTTGGAAGCCCCCAGCTTGAGTAAGCTGGGGGAAGCAGACCAGCAAACAGCTGATTCCACAGTAGAGGGGTGAGGAAGCTGTGAGAAAACCGACAGGACAGAACTATCCAGAGAGGTGGAATTGAGCTGGGTTTTAAGGGGTGAGTAGGAGCCCACCGAGCAGAGTTGTGGAGAAGGGGCCCTCCTAGCAGAGGCGCAGCGGGAATTCCTAGAAATACAGAGGAGAGCAGCATGTCTGCAGGGTACGACGGTAAAAAGGAGTGAGAATTAGGTCTGGGGCATTTATTATCAAGAACTACCCAACCAACATTTATTAAGCACCTACTGTGTGCCAGTGGTTAATGAGACAAACAAGGTCCCTGCCCTCCTGGAGCTTAGAATCTAGTAAAAGAGACAAACAAGGAAGGAACAAAGAAGCAGATATGTAACTTAATTTCGGGTAGTGATAAGTCAGGTGAAGACATTACACCGTTATAGTGAGATAGAGACCCTGAGGAAGGGGACGGGAATCTTAGTTGATCAGGGAAAAGCCTGTCTGAAGAGGTTGCATTTGAGCTAAAACCAGAACAATGAGAAGAAAGAGCATTCTAGGCAGAAGGATAGCGAGTGCAAAGGCCCGGGGGCAGGGAGGGGGGGGGTGTCTGACCAAGTGATCATGGAAAGCCTCAAATGCCCTCTTGGAACTTAGAGCCACGTCAGAGCTCAGTAAATGATCATCGCCCTGTGGCCCTGGTTCTGACCTCTGGGCTGAAGTGGTTGTCAGAGAGGCGAGCATGCTTGGGAGAAGTGGCCAGGCGGGTCATGGGGATCAGTGGAAGTCGAGGGGAGGTGCTAGGCCTGAGTGGATGAGTGATGAAGCTTCCAGACAGTTTGGAGGAGGGAGAGGAGGGACGGCTCCCCGGCAGGAGGCTGGGGAGAGAAAATGTTCGGGGTCACTGAGCTGAAGCATGAGCCACCAGCCGCAGAGGTGGGCACAGGTGCAAAGACGCTAAAGAAGAGCAGCTGGACGGAGTTGGATGGGAAGTCGGCTGGCCGGCTGGGGCGGAGTCAACCACTCCAGTCTCGACCTGCCATCTGGCTGGAAGCCCAGGCAAATGGAGTAGACCCTGGGCCTCTGGATGTCAGGAAACAGGAGCCAGGGTCTCCCGTGGTGTCTTTGTGGGCAAGATTGGAGAAGACTGCTGAGGCCAGGGGATTTCAGGCAGTTTGTGCTGACTCTTGAACTGCTGGCAATCTGGTGAAAGGTTTCTAACGGCCTTCCCTGGAGCTCTGTCCTGTTGCAGTATGGAACGTATGCCCATCAAGTTCACAGAGACCACAAGTCCAGGAAGGCTGACACAGAGAAAGCAAGGGTCAGTACCCACAAAGATGGCCAGAGTGCAGGGTGAACTGGACTCAAGAAAATGAAAGTTGACCGTGAGCTGCAGTACTGACATTCAGAAACCCAACTGCGTGGCGGAGAGGGAGGGCAGTGGCTTAGCCCAGGCTCCTGGGGAAAAGACAGTGAGAAAGGGGCATGGTCAGCCCGATGGAAAGAGAAGAATTCTGTAACAGTCAGAACCATTCTAGGAACAAAAGAGGCTGCCTGTATGGTAGTGAGTTCCCCGTCACTGATTGTGTGTGAGCAGGGCCTGCACAGGCTATGGGGGGGTGTGTTGTAGAGGAGGCTGAGACCCTGAATGGGCGCTGCATTCAGTGCTTCTCCCTGCGGTGAGAGTCACAGATTCAGTACACCTGTTCTCACCTGCACCTCTGCTATAGACACACCTTGTTTCCTCCCTTCTGCCCTGCCTCTGCTGAGGCCGTTCCCTCCTCCCGCACGGCTCTCTCCCTTCCCCATTGCACATTTAACTCCTGCCCATCTGCTCAGTCCCACCTCCTCCACGAAGTCTTCTCTGACCACCCCTGCCCTGTGCCACCTGCGACCCATGCGTTAGCCTGTGACGTCACGCTGCGCTCGGCCCATTCAGGCACAGCCTCATCATGCTGATTGAGTTTCGTGCTGCGCAAAGCATCTCAAATAAAATAAAGAGCAAACCCATCCACAGTGCCACCACCCAAACAAATCCAACAGGTCTCACTTTTATGGGCCCCTTCCATCCTTGGTCGGTCCAAGAGGGGGGGAGCCCGAGCCTGAGGCTGTCGGGAGGTCAGCCCAGCTCCACCCCAGGCCCTGCACACCTTAGGGCTCAGGCACTGTCTGCCAGAGTGAGGAGGGAGGCTGCACTGCGTTGTAGAAAGAGCAGAGTTGGGCAGGCTGAGCCAGATCTGAGCTCTGAAATGAACTTGCTGTGTGGCCTTGGGCATGTCGCTTCACTTCTCTGAGCCTCAGTTTACCTGTGAGGACAACAGTGACGTCCTGGTGTGTGATGTTGGTGAGGCCCCTATCTAGCACAGTGCTGCCGGAGGGATGCTCACGGTAGGCTGGTTCCCTTCCCTGTTCCTCAGACGGAGCCTGGACTTGGGAGTGAAATAGCCTGGGTTCACATCCCGACTCTGCCCTTCATTGTCTGGGAGACCTTGGACAATCTTCTTACCCTTTCTGAGCCTCCATTTTCTCACATGTAAAATGGGAGAGTAACCCCAGCTTATATGTCCATTTCCCCTCCCTTCCTTCTTCTGGAATGTGTCCCCTTTCCCCCTCTCTGGGCTGGCCCTGTCTCTCCCCCATCCAGCTCCTCTCCACCTTCAGCCTGCCCGAGCCTGCCTCCTCCAGGGGGTTCCCCTGGATTGCTGTCTTCCCCAGTGCTCTGAACCCTGCATAACTGCCATTTGGACTCTCACATGACCAGACATCTCGGACCCTTACCCTGTGCTGGTGGCTTTGCTGGGCCTTCTGGTCAGGTGACCCTCAGAAAACACAGAGGGACCATGCTGGGGGCGCCTGCAGGGTCCTCATGGTAGTTCAGACGCCCCCACATGGCATCTGGCACACTGGCTCAGCCTAGAGGAAGGCAAAGAATGCTCAGCTGGATCAGGTGGCCTGCCATACCCGACCTTTGACCCTGGAAAGGTCCCTTCCTCTCTAAGCCTCTACGTCTGTGTCTGTGCAGTGAGCCAGTGAGGAGCCCTTCCCCACTGCCTGCTCCACAGGGCTGTTGTGGGGACCACATGCCTGGACAGATGTGACTGTCCTCTGTGAACGGTGCACGTGTGAGATGCTGTGTATTGTGGAATGAACACAGCCTTTGGAGGCAGAACCTCCAGGTTCCAGCCCTGCATTGGCTCCCACTATGACCTCTGCCCATCAGGACCTCAGTCTCCCCATCTGACAAATGGGGGCAGACCAGCCTTCAGAAAGATTCAGATGTCTCCAAAGCTGAGGGCACAAATGAAATCCTAAAGGCCTGGAGCTCGTCCCCCAGGACACACAGGCAGACACAGGCCCATGTCTGCAGTGGCTTCAGCCCAGGCAGAGTAGAAACGTGCAGAAATCGCAGGTCCCTACGTCCACGGGGTGACGTCGGGGGAGTGTGGACACCAAACCAAGCACTCACTTGCTTCCCCTGCTGCCTGTGGACGTGCCCCCCGCCCCCCGTGTGGCTGCAAAGTCCACTCTCTGCAAGGGGAGCAAGAGATTCAGATTTTTCAGGTCAATCTCCCAATGTTTAAGACGTTGGGAAGAAATTCCAATTTTTCAAAAGCCTGTGTGGGTCAGACAACCGACGGGTGGGCCCTGGAATACAAACTCTGACCTCGGCCTATTTTTTTTCTTAGTTTTGTATTTTAATGTAATTTCAAACTTTCAGAAAAGTTGCAGGGCTAGTACAATGAACGCCTGAATGGCCTCCCCTCTGGTTCAACTGCTGTTGCCATCGTGCCTCCCTTGCTCTCAGGAGCCTCCCTCTCTGCTTCGTCAGGGCCTCTTCCTACTTCAGGTGTGTCTCCCAAGAAAAGGGGTCCTCGTGCATAACCACAGCACAGCGGTCAATTCAGGAAGCATTGATGCAGTACTGATACCCGACATACCATCCATATTCACGTGTGCCAACTGTCCCCACAGCATCCCCCAGGC